GGACGGGACCGCTAAAAAAGTTCACTACATCCGAGTGTTCACTATATCCCAGGTTCACTATAGCGGGGTTCGACTGTATTATTATTATTTCTTGAATAAAATGTAGACTTTTGATGAAAGTAAAGCATAATGTTTATAAATTAAAATCATTTTCCAAGTGAGTACTTGCAAACCTAACACTGATTTATTTGCTTTATTCCATACTATCTGTTGGAGTTTCAGGATGTTTGGAATAAAGTTCATTTGGCAATAATGACTCAGGATTTTCAGTGCCATTCTTCGTTACTGTAAAAAGTCATACCTCTAATTAACTATGCAGGTATTTGCATCGATTTTTATGAGGATATTAATGTTAACTTATTCTTAAAGGGCCTAGCCTATTTTTTTCTAACAATTCTTGCTACTCTTTTTTTTCCAAACTAGCACATTGTGGATTCTTCCTATTTATATGTTAACTTAGAAGCTCATAAGTTAACTCTTTATTGAGTTTTGATAAATATGCATGCTTTGTGTAATCTTTTTATTTATGCCACGTTTGTTCTTCACTTTTGGCATAAGTAGAACTTTTATTCTTGATATTGATTTTACTACCCATATTCATACAATTGATTTACAGTAAACTTCCGATTATCCCCAGGTAGAGAATACGGATCATCAGCGCTTCACCTTTTTTTCACAAGGACAAACAACACAAAGTTTAGAATTTAAAACTAATAAATTCATAGAGATGAAACTTTCAAGAGTTTTGAGAACAACATACTAGCAAAGATTCGTGTTTGTAGTCCAGATGCTCGCAATTAATCAAATAATAAGTCTACACTGAAACATTGAAGCTTCAGGTGCAATAAATTAGTAATAAGGAGCATTGAAAATGGTGCGAAGGAGCAAAACAATGTGAGTCATGATTTACAGTTGTGGAACTATGAATGCAGGATGAAGTTCAAATTTCAATGAATAGATTTCATGCACATCAAAGCAGTTTCTTCTCCTGGATGGTATTGTTACTATTCAAAGCAATAATATTGATAGCAAAGTTTTTCCATCTTGCCTTAATTTGATGACTGGCAATGAATTATCCTCATGGTCATTTATTTAGTCAACGCATTCTTGGAACCCTTATCAGTTATAAAATTGATAACAGATTATCCTCAAACTTGCTTATCCGTGCTTCGGGGTCACTCAATTCAGTAAAGAATCGGGAGGTTACTGTATCGTTAAAAAAATATCAACAAATTACTAATGCTGAAATTGCTAACTTCTATGTCATGTAGAAATTGTTTTTCTTTTTTTAAAAGAGCCGAATCTTTGTTTATTATATGTAAAAATAAAAAATCTATAATATTAATTTTTTATAAATAGAGCTAACTAAAAGATCCTAATTGAAATTACATCATTTAGATCGATCTTAATCTAGTTAAAACTATAATTGAATTTTTTTATGCATATATTCTGAATTTGTTTTGGTGCAGAAATATATATTGAGCAAACTTCCAATAAAAATTATGAAAATAAATACTTTAGTTTTGGATATAGTTTTTTTTTTTTTTTNTTTTTTTTTTTTTTTTTTTTTTTTTTTTTTTTTTTTTTTTTTTTTTTTTTTTAGCTATTCAATTTACTTGTTTTTAACAAAGCTCATGTTTTATGTTTTCCCAATTAATAATATTTTTAACAGTCATAAATTTGTTTTTTCATTTTAAAATTTTGTATTCTTTTACTTACTGACTATGTTCTTATTGTCAAACAATAACATTTTTGTTTTAATTCTTTTTGAAATCTGACAAAATAGAAACATATGTAATTGCATTATAAAAATTAAAACATATTAAGCACATGAAAAGTTTTTCAAGTTATTAAAAAATTACAGTCCTAATGTCTTATTTTCCTAATGTAATTATTTCAGTAATTATGCATTGAAAAAAGATTGCTATAAAAGTAAGTTGTTATATAGTTTGTACAAATTAAATGTTTTTTTTACTCACTTGCAACATATGGGGACATTAATTACACTCAATAAAGTAACACATGGAGTTTTTAAGATTAAGTAAAGCTTAAATACCATAAAAGCTTATTTACCACTTCAATTAAACTTTAATATTCTTTCAAAAAGAATGCTCTTTATAGTCCGGGAATTTTATTTTATTCATCTAAAGCCACCAATTGAGTTTTATTGCCACTTTATGTATTTGGGATAGTTTATACACAAATATTGGGGATATATTCAAAATTATGTGTAGAACAAAATACTCAAATTAATCTATGAATATGAATCATGTATACTTAAATCAATTAGAAATTCATACTAAATCAGATTAGATTTGCATTCATCTATAGAATTCTTGATTAATGTAATAAATTACTTTAAAGTTCAGAATTCCATTTTGGGGACAAAGGAGCAGTCATGATATCTCATTTGTATTATTTTCTTTAAAATATAATTTAAATACAAAGTGTAATTGATGCATTTTTTTTTTTACTCATTTAGTATTTTTAAGTACAGTTTAACATGAAGTAGTAATAATTAAAAAATAAGACAAATAAAAAATATTGCTTTAGCATGGACAAGTTAAAGAAAAGAATTGAGAAAAATTACTCTTTTAATTTTTGACATGTTTGAATTTGGAGACACAGTTTTCCTGCTCATTATAAAGCATCAATATAAACAAGATTTAACCCTTCTACTAAGTTTTTTACAGTTCAATAAGATTCCATTACTTTTCATTATTTTATGAGCATGCTACCTTTTTTCAATAAGTCAATAAACATTTTCATGAAATAGTAATGTAATGCATTTAAATAATTGTGTTAAGCGAGATCAAAAACAGGGAAACTTTAAATATTAGTTAAAGTAGTACAAATATCGAACAATTCTTTATTCTACTGTCTCAATGTCAATTTGAATATTTATTCATTCAATGTGATCATAATTATTGATAAGCTTGCTAGGGGTTAAATCTTTATTTAAAAAATTGTAATTAAATCTGAAGAATTAAAATATAATTTGTCTCCTAAAATCTTAAGTAATACTCTGTGTGTACCTGAAAAATGAGCAAAATAAAATCTTCATTTTAAACTCTGCTAAAATTCTCTTAACATAGTACAATTTTGATATTCTGAATCTCTTCTGGCAAGAAAAAAAATTTAAATGTCTTATGCTTTTTGCAAACAAATTTAGTTAAATTTAATATAGTTACTAATATCAAAATAACTTTCCTTTCTTACTATGCAACTTACAAAATGTATAACACACATTAAAAAAAAAAATTAATTCATAAAAAGCAGTTTTTCAGTTATATTAGCATTTGCATAAATATAATAGTTTAGTTTTAACTATTTAAATTATGAATTCTAGAAGAAATAAAACTTGTTTCTTGTTGTTTAATATTGTTTGTTTTTAGTATACATCTTTTTATTAAAGCATTTAATGAATTTTTCAAAATTCTTTTGCAAAATTTAATAATTTTTCTTTTTTAATTAAGTTATAACTCAGGAAACAGATTTATTTGTGAATATATTTTAGTTCTTTAATATATTCCACATGTTCCATGTATATATAACTTATATTGCCTGCTTTTAAATAAAATTAATTTTGTAGCAGATTTTCTACATACTCTTGAGAAAAGATAATGGGTATTTCTACACCAATCATTCAATAAAAAAATTAAGGTCAATAATTTGAATAAGTTAAACATTTTTGAAAATTTACAAATTTTTTGCAATTTGTAAATTACTAGATAGATAGAGATAATTTTTGAGAAATCAAATTTCGAAAAAGATATATTTTTAAAATTTAATTTCTCTAGAAATTATTCGATTAATTTTGCTAAAAAATTTTTATTTCTCCAGGCAAAAATACAGTCTTTAAAATAATGTTAAAATTGTATACTGCACAATTCAAGTTTTTTTTGCTACGAAATAAAATAATAAAAAATAGTAAGTACTCACTAAAAATATTTTTTGCATGGAATTATATTTGGCTAAACTAAGTTAATAATTATAAGTAAAATTCTTTAATTCGTTTAAACATTTTTCGAGATATGGCAAAATACGCTAAAAGTAAAATTAACGCTAAAGGGTTCAAACTATTGAGACCATATTTACGAAACTGCTGCTACTCCTGTTTTTTCAGTGTCAGAAATTCAAATCCTTCAAAAAGTTTATTCAGAAAAAGTTTGATTTTGTAATTTTAAATGTCGGCTGTACTAATTAATTAGCAATATTTAATATCATCCCCTCAAACAGGTGCGGATTAAGCATATGCGGGGCCCTAGGCCATTAAAATTTTTGCGCACTATGTAAAAAATGAAAATAACATAAACGGCAGCAACTTTCAACCGCTCTCTCACTTTCTCCTCTTTGATAATTTAAAATCATGTACATTTATTTACCATGAAATTAAAAATAGTTATTGACACGTAATTAGATAAATAAATAAAGGCTATTAAATTCTTTATTTTTTTTTACATGGGATTCGTTTGGATAAAGTAAATTTAAATTTATGTTCAAAAAATGTTCTATTATTTTTAAAAAAATCCATGAGCTTGTGCCAAATATGTATTTGTGCGAAATACACTTTTTCAAGAGCTTACCTAACTAAACTATGAGGACCATATTTTTGGAATTTTGTGCTACTCCCATATTTTGATTGTCAAAAATCCAAATAAAAAAATCTCAAAAAAAGAGTGCGAATACTTAGTATAGTATTGTGTTCAATTTATATTTTTCTTACTTCACAAATGATTTAGCCTCTCTGCGTTTGTTAGAAATTCTAATAAGAAATAAAACTTTTTACAGGGGCTAGAATAACCTGACTTGTCATGCTGAACAGTTTCCCTTTCTCCGCCAAACTGTCTCAACGTCAAAAGGATGGTAAACGTCCAGTGTCTTCTAGAATATGAGATTTAGAACCCTCACAAGACTCCGCCTTCCCTGCCCTGCCCCCAGAACTGGTGACTTTTCGAATTTTATTTATTTTCTTTTTTAAAACTCCCAATAGCTGAAGTAATTTTTTTTTCAATTCATCAAGCTGAATCAAAAAATAGATTTGATTTCTTAAATTACTTTTAGATAAATTAAACATAAACAACTTTTAATAAAACTAGATCTACTTTCGCTCTAAACACTTCATATATTTATCTAGCTATTTTTATATTTCTAAGCATCAGAATTTTTTTCCTTATCATATACATTTAATTNCTACTTTCGCTCTGAACACTTCATATATTTATCTAGCTATTTTTATACTTCTAAGCATCAGATTTTTTTTCCTTATCATATACATTTAATTGTTTTATAACGCTGGCAATGCTTGATTGGCACCTCTGGTACTGATTAAAAACCCGTAAGTTTAATATATGTTGTCTGCAGTGTGAATTTCGTCAAGGAATTAAACTTCTTTTTTTTTTTTTCAATTTATAAGTAGCATGTTTTTAAAAATGATTTCTCGTCTAAATTCATTTATTTTTCATTTGGCAAAATTGGTACTCTGTCTTTAGATTTCATTTAAGTTTTGAGTTGAATTAAAAAATAATAGCTGCTATAATTTATTTAGTAATTAGTTTGTAGTCATTAAATCTAAAAATTCTGATTGAAATAAAATATTACATTGTTGAATCTGTATCTCTTAAACAAAACATGATTTTAACACTGTTAAAATGCTGCACTGTGTAAGTTAATTATTATTTTTTTTTTGTTGCTGTTGTTGCTAAAATTACTAATGCAAAAAAATATTAAATACTAATTTTGTTAATTTGTATAACAGAACAGGAAATCTTAACAGATAGTTTGTTTTCTCAGAATTACAAAGAAGCTTCAAAAACCTATTTTTTTTTTCAAAATAGATTAAAATAATTGTAAAATTTGCCTCATTGATTTAAATTTTTTCTGAAACTCGAAAAAAAAATTTTTTTGTTCATTATATATTTGATTACTTGATTATTTATTTCATTATTTATTTGATTACTTGATTATTTATTTCGTTATTTATTTGATTTACTGATTAAACAAAATATTTTTAGTCATAAAAATTTAATTTTTGAATGATCAAAATGTAAATATAAAAATTTGAAATGCAAAGTGTCAAAGATACATTGAATGCAAATGCAAAGTGTACATTGATGTACACTTCCATGCAGTTGTAAAATTAGACTGAATATTTTTGTTCAAATTTGTAAAAGAGGGTTTTTACGTGACTTTTAAATTTTCTCTTTTATAA